TATTTTTTTTTTTTTTTAGAGACAGAGTCTCACTTTATTGCCCTTGGTAGAGTGCCGTTACATCACAGCTCATGGCAACCTCTAGCACTTGAGCTTAGCTGATTCTCTTTCCTCAGCCTCCTGAGAGCTGGGACTACAGGTGCCTGCCACAATGCCTGGCTATTTTTTTGTTGCAGTTTGGCAAGGGGCTAGGTTTGAACCTGCCACCTGTTATATGCAGCCAGCGCCCTACTCATTGAGCCACAGGCGCTGCCCTAATTTTTCTATTTTTTATAGTGACAAAGTCTCACTCTTGTTCAGGGTGGTCTTGAATGCCTGACCTCAAGTGATCCTTGTGCCTCAGCCTTCCAAAGTGTTAGGATTTATAAGCATGAGGTAGTATGTCTGGCCTTCTGATTGCTTTTAATCAACTGTAGTAAAACATAACTTGTTAACGAGGAAAAAGAAAACAACTCAAAACTCCGCAATTTTGTTTCAAATTTTCCACAGTAAACATCTATTTCTACTATAATTGAGGGAAAAAAATGCTGGGATGGGAGATATGAGTTTAAATGCACCATGTGTGAAAAGCAGAATTTCCCATAATGTTTGTTAGCACTGGATAAGCTCTCCTGATTTCTATAGATTTGTATAATTTCTAATTTATTTTAGAAAACTAGCAATATAAAGAAATATTTTGGAGATTAGTGGCTATAGTATGTTGATAGTAAAGGACTTCTTACAAAGTTTTTTGTTATTTGAGACAGAGTCTCATTTTGTTGCTGTTGGTAGAGTGTGGTGGCATCATAGCACACAGCAACCTCCAACTCTAGGGCTCAAGCGATTCTCTTGCCTCAAGCTGTGGAGTAGCTGGGACAACGGGCGCCTACCACAACACCCAGCTATTTTATTTTTTAGATACGTGTGTCTCACTCTTGCTTAGGCTGGTCTTGAAGCTTTAACTCAGGATAATTCACCTGCCTCGGCCTCCCAGAGTGTTAGGATTACAGGCATGAGCCATTCCGCCCTGCCTGCCAAGTCTTTTACCCTTCCTGTCAATAAAAAAAGTTACTTTCCATATTTCTTGATCTTTTTTTTTGGAGACAGTTTCACTTTTGAACTTGGTAGAGTGCCATGGCAATCATTATAGCTCACAGCAAACCCTTGGGCTCAAGAGATCTTCTTAACTCCCCAAGGAGCTGGGACTATAGGCATATACCACAATTGCTGGCTAGTTTTTTTTTTTTTTTTCCTATTTTAAGTAGAGATGGGGTGTCACTCTTGCTCAGGCTTATCTTGAACTCCTGAGCTCAAGCAATCCTCCTTCCTCGGCCTCCTAGAATGCTAGGATTACAGATGTGAGCCACTACGCCTGGCCACATTTTTCTCTTTCAAGGATCTCTCTTCACTTAGTCTTCACCTTATTTCTTATTCTCAGAAATACTTAGAAACATAAACACTTTCCTTTCTTATTATCAAAACAAAGAGAATCTTGGAAATTTTGGTTGAAGATTTTAGGAATGTATCTAAAGGATAAAGAGGCTTAATAAAGAAGTCCTGAAATGATTTTGTCAAGAGAGGTCACAAGGATTAGAATACCTGCAAGTTTCATTGCTTTCGCTGCTTTCTGTGTTCCCACCTAATTGATTACTATTTTTAGACCCATTTTCCTGCTTTGGATCTTGCTGTTCTTCAGGTAGTAGCAACAAGGCATTTCTGAGACAAATGGCTGCAAACTCCATACTGGCTACAGGAATGGCTGAAGACTGTCCATCGCTTAAAAGAACAAAACCAAATTAGCTAAGTAGATAACATAACATTGTTTTGTTTTTTGTTTTTGAGACAGAGTCTCACCATGTAGCCATTGGTAGAGTGCCATGGCATCATAGCTCACAGCAATCTCAAACTCTTGGGCTTAAGTGATTCTCTTGCTGCAGCCTCCCAAGTAGCTGGGACTGGCATCTGCCACAATGCCTAGCTAGTTTTCTACTGTAGTTATCATTGTTCAGCAGGCCCAGGCCAGGTTTGAACCTACCAGCCCTGGTGCATGTGGCTGGTGCCCTAACCACTGAGCCG